ATGAGCGACCATTGTCAAACTGTTGGTGGGGATGATTATCCAAACTTTTGGTTAACGTTTTACATCTACATGATATTTTTAGTATATATGTTACCGGCAATTTGTATGATTCAGGTACTCCATACAAAACGTAGGCAATGTGTAGAATACCGGGGGCGTCTAGGCAATGTATGAAATATTACGCATACGATTGTCCATTACATACTTTGCCTAGGTAATGTATACAACTCCTAAGGATTGTATAGAGTACCTGGTGGACCATCGGCAATGTGTAAAAATAAAACAATTTTTATTAAAAAAGTAGGTATTTTTTTGCAGTAGAATTAAGAATTACTGCACTAAAATATATTTCTTTATTCTTCGGTTACTAGATCCTACACAAAGAAATAATATTAAACATTAAAGACATGAATACTTTTTACACGTAATAACAAACTTTTTACAATATATATAAATTATTCTATAAAAAAGGCACTTTGTACCTTTGTGTAACTATAGTAAAATCACAATTAAATCACGTTAAACTCAAAATTCTTCTAGGTAAACTAAAATAATAAAATTTTTCTCAGAAATAATCAGGTAGCTACCTACCAAGTATTAAAAACTTAGGAAACCAAATAGTTCTATAAAAATTAGAAATAGATTTACTGGCTTCTCAGAATGGAGTAAGTAAAAAATAATTATTTATTCTTACATGAAGAACAATTGTGTCGTTTTTTACACACACACTGCACATTCGGCATTGTATAGAATACCTAGGCAAAGTATAAAATGAATATTTCATACATTACCTTAACATTTTAGGCATTCTATACATTGCCTATTGTATAGAATACCTAATTATACAGATTGTCGGGCGTAACATATATACAAACAACAATCGGTCCAGTAGTTTCGGAGATTATCTAATAAAAAAATTGGTCTAAAGAGTTTAGACAGTACTTCCCTCGCTGTCGGAAACTTGACGACTGCATGCCTATTGTGTTTTTTTTTCTCATTGCATTTTTGTAGTAGGAATTAAAAAAAAAATTGTGATGACGTCATCAACATTTTTGCAAGGACACTTATATCAGTTGGGATAGATGTAGTGTAATACTAAGAATAAAATTATTCTATTCCCAAATTTTCGGGAAAATGAATTGGGTCGTTTTGAATATTGATTTCTTATAATCAATAAAATAACGAAACAATTTACTCACGTATACGGCGTCGGTGTGCAATATCTAGAGAGCGGATTTCTGTCGGGCTAGGCAAGGCCAAACTCGGTACGGCTCGTGCGGGATGCGAATTCATTGCGGTTGCGGACTGCACTTCGTTTATTTGAGATTAGAATAACACTGTTTCGTTGCACTCTGCTGTTAATTCCCGTTCTCATTTACTTAGCCGTTTGATTAATAAATCGTTAATTATATTTATGGAATTAGTACCGATTACACGTGACGTAGCCCGACAAAAATCCGCTGTCTAGTAATATGAAAGGCAACTGAAAATCGTTTATGTATAAACATTCTTAATTTAAGATGACAAGCGTAACAGCATACGTGAGAGTCAAACAGAGAAACTGTAAACAAAACGACCATCGGTTTTATTGCTTCGACTTCCGCTTATTATATAAAACATTGGGTTTTATTTTAATTCTTGACGGTGAAATTCACAATTGGTTAATTATAAACATGTCTATTTCACATTCGCGGAACCAAGTGAGCGCATAAAACAAATGCAGGTCTATAATGTTAAAGTCGATGTAAATAAGCGTGCTACCCTTATGTTTCAACCGAGTTTTTCCTTTAACAAATTTTGTGTCTACCAAATTGGGTTGGTTGGGGTGTAATACTAATAATAAGTGTTGCCTTTAATTTAATCAATAAAATAAATTGACTTCATTAATTTTTTTGAACCACCTCTTAAGAAAATCTAAAAAATATGAATGGAATGATAAATCACAAGTACAAACGCATCATATTTTTTGCATTTTAGATAGGATTTATTTAGCAAAATTTAAGGGTGACGTCATCAATTTTTTTAGGAGGGATGAACAAATACATTTTGAACAAAAGTTTACCATGCTTATAATAACTTTAAAATATTCCCAAGATTTCAAAGCATTCGGTTTTGTAATTCCTGATTAAATCGATAAAATAAATTCACGCCTTCATTAATTTTTTTGAGTCACCCTGCATATGCAAATCCAAAAATATGAATGGAATGATAAATCACAAGTACAGACTCATCATATTTTGTACATTTTAGATACGATTTATTCGGCAAACCTTTGAGCTGACGTCATCAGTTTTTTGTAGAAGATAACCAAATATATTTTGACTAAAAATTTATTATGCTCTTTATAACCTTAAAACATCTGCAAGATTTCAAAGCATTCGGTTTTGTAGTTCCTGATTAAATCAATAAAATAAATTTACGCATTCATTAATTTTTTTGAGTCACCCTGTATATGCAAATCGAAAAAATTTGAATGGAATGATAAATCACAAGAAGAGACTCACCATATTTTGTACATTTTAGATAGGATTTATTCAGCAAAATTTTGTGGTGACGTCATAAATTTTTTAGGGGGGACGACCAAATACATTTTGATCAAAAATTTACCATGCTTATGATAATTTTAAAATATCTTCAAGATTTCGAAGCATTCGGTTTTGTAGTTCCTGAGTAAATCAGTAAAATAAATTTACGCTTTCATTTATTTTCTTGAATCACCCTGTATATGCAAATCGAAAAAATTTGAATGGAATGATAAATCACAAGAAGAGACTCACCATATTTTGTACATTTTAGATAGGATTTATTCAGCAAAATTTTGTGGTGACGTCATAAATTTTTTAGGGGGGACGACCAAATACATTTTGATCAAAAATTTACCATGCTTATGATAATTTTAAAATATCTTCAAGATTTCGAAGCATTCGGTTTTGTAGTTCCTGATTAAATCAATAAAATATATTTACGCATTCATTAATTTTTTTGAGTCACTCTGTATATGCAAATCCAAAAAATATGAATGGAGTGATAAATGACAAGTACAGACTCATCATATTTTGTACATTTTAGATATGATTTATTCGGCAAACTTTCGAGCTGACGTCATCAAGTTTTTGGAGGGGATAAGCAAATATATTTTGAGTAAACATTTATTATGCTCTTTATGACCTTAAAACATCTGCAAGATTTCAGAGCATTCGGTTTTGTAGTTCCTGATTAAATCAATAAAATATATTTACGCATTCATTAATTTTTTTGAGTCACCCTGTATATGCAAATCCAAAAAATATGAATGGAGTGATAAATTACAAGTACAGACTCATCATATTTTTACAGTTTAGATAGGATTTATTCGGCAAACTTTCGAGCTGACGTCATCAATTTTTTGGAGGGGATAAGCAAATATATTTTGACTAAACATTTATTATGCTCTTTATAACCTTAAAACATCTGCAAGATTTCAAAGCATTCGGTTTTGTAGTTTCTGAGTAAATCAGTAAAATAAATTTACGCATTCATTAATTTTTTTGAGTCACCCTGTATATGCAAATCCAAAAAATATGAATGGAGTGATAGATCACAAGTACAGACTCATCATATTTTGTACATTTTAGATATGAATTATTCCACAAACTTTTGAGCTGACGTCATCAAGTTTTTGGAGGGGATAAGCAAATATTTTTTGACTAAAGATTTATGATGCTCTTTATAACCTTAAAAGATCTGCAACATTTCAAAGCATTCTGGTTAGCAGATTAAAAATTAAATTTCAAAATGTTGTTTTATAATTTTGATTTTTTTTTCCAAAAATCTGGACGTTTCGGGTGAAATGTCGATTGAGAGTTGTAAACTACATGTGTAGGACTATGTTATTTTATACAATTGAAAACCCATTTAGTATGTACAATTTTGAAGTGACGTCATCGCATTAGTGGTGGGGATGATTAGACAAATTTTGGTTAGCGTTTTACCATCTACATGATATTCTTAATATAAGTACAAAATTTCACAACAATCGGTCGAGTACTTTCGGAGATTATCTGTCTAATAAAAATCCGTGACAACAGACGGACAAACGGACAGACGGACGGACAGACGGACAGACGGACGGACAGACGGACAGACAGACGGAAATGGGAGACCTATTTCTTCGTCTTCTAGGGGTCATGAAAGATCGAGAAAACGTAAAAGTAGAGAGTCGGCCGACGGACTCGATTACAATACTTCCTTTGCTTACGCTCGGGAAGTAAAAATCGTTCAAAGTTTGGTTTGTACTTTATCATTTATGCAGTAATCCTAAGTACCTAACCTATACTTCGAATTTTACGATAGGCTGTCTGCTAGTGTGACATACAGCAGTTTTTTATTCTAACAGGTATGAACGTCGAGACAGTAAGTATGAAATAAACCATTCGTCACATGGATCGTTTTAGTATGTTTCGCTAGCTTTTGCTTGAAAAGTAAAAGATACAAAATAGTTGACAGTATTTTTGGTGGCATTTATAAATAAAACAAACCATAAATACAAAACCGTATGCTCATTAAATAACGTACCTATTAAGAAAATACGACATCTGCAAACCTTTCAAAAAGGCTATATCTACCCTTTGCGCAATTCTGGTAACACACTAATAATATATTTCGTTGTGTTACATATTATTAAAAATATGCTTATATTTGTCAACAGTCAACAACATTTTTATTACTGAGAAATTCATAATATGAGTATTAATTGTTCCTAAGTAATCCCGATTTTAGTTTCCTTTTGAAATAACTTATTTCCCTTAATCAAATAACTAAAGAAATTGTATTTAGAGAATAAACAGTATAACATAGATAAACAGTTTTGTGATGAACGCATTTTACTTCCAAAACTGATTTAGTGATTTAATTATATATCTGTTTACCTATTTACATGACAATATTTACTTGTAAATAACAATTAACATTTGATTTGTTCAATTAAATGTTGTTTGCTAGTAATGTACGCTCTTTTTCAGTTCACTGCAGTCCTTCGAAATCAAATGATTTTGAGCTGGACAGCGATTATGATATGCAAAATGACAACGATAACTATGGGGGAAATTATGAAGACACAGATGATACTGTGGAAGAAAAGAAAATGTCTGACCTTCCGTTACAAATAAATACACGTGAAGAAGAATTTATTAGAGATATTGGTGAAAAAGTTGTGTTACCTTGCGAAATTACTGGGAGCAGTAAGTATTTTTATGCACTTTTGTAGATTAAGGATGTGTGATTAACCGATTATTGATTAATGATTAGACATTGGCGTAAGATAAGGGAAGTCTACAGTATTTTTAAGCTGGAAGTCTATTTCCGAATTTTGGTCCTTACAGATGTACTCGTTACCATAGGTAATTCAGATACTGAATTTTACATTATTTATGTATCTTATGCTAGAATTTTCATTAGTAAAATGAGTGTAAAAGTATTACAGTGATTGCATAATTATTTCTCCCCTTATGCAGTTTCATTGCCATTGCTGCAGAAACAAATTTTTGTAGGTCAGAGTTAAAAAATTTATGAAGGTATGCAAGTTAGATTAGTTATGCTTCTATTTCTAGAGCGTAACGTGGAAGCGTCGTAATAAACGTATTTTTTTTAAATGAATGTTAAATTGATGTATTTTTGACACTCTTCAGTTAGTGGAATACGGAAATGGAGGTCTCCCGATTTCATTTTGTTTGTCGTCTGTCTGTCGGGGATCGAAACCCAGACTTTTCACGTACGAGTACAAAGCTCACGCTCTATTGTTGAGTTAATTCCGTTTACTTCAACGACGTTGATATTATGCATTTACAACATCTCCGCTAGTTGAAATAAGAATCGATAAAACTATACTGAAAAAATGTTTAAAATTATTAAAACAGAACTTTTACACCCCTAAAGCACAATCATTTCTGCATGCATATCAGAACGTACTCTTCAATGTTCATTTATTAAATTTTCCTGAGGGTAAATATTTCAATATATGCAGTGCAAGGTCATTATGAAATGAGGTTGCTGTGTTCTATTAGTTAATTTCAGGGAAATTAAATGGGTCAATTTCTACTTCCCGAGCGTAAGCAAAGGAAGTATTGTAATCGAGTCCGTCGGCCGACTCTCTACTTTTACGTTTTCTCGATCTTTCATGACCCCTAGAAGACGAAGAAATAGGTCTCCCATTTCCGTCTGTCTGTCCGTCTGTCCGTCCGTCTGTCCGTCTGTCCGTCCGTCTGTCCGTTTGTCCGTCTGTTGTCACGGATTTTTATTAGACAGATAATCTCCGAAAGTACTCGACCGATTGTTGTGAAATTTTGTACTTATATTAAGAATATCATGTAGATGGTAAAACGCTAACCAAAATTTGTCGAATCATCCCCACCACTAAAGCGATGACGTCACTTCAAAATTGTACATAGTAAATGGGTTTTCAATTGTATAAAATAACATAGTCCTACACATGTAGTTTACAACTCTGAATCGACTTTTCACCCGAAACGTCCAGATTTTTGGAAAAAAAATCAAAATTATAAAACAACATTTTGAAATTTAATTTTTAATCTGCTAACCAGAATGCTTTGAAATGTTGCAGATGTTTTAAGGCTATAAAGAGCATCATAAATCTTTAGTCAAAAAATATTTGCTTATCCCCTCCAAAAACTTGATGACGTCAGCTCAAAAGTTTGTGGAATAAATCATATCTAAAATGTACAAAATATGATGAGTCTGTACTTGTGAACTATCACTCCATTAATATTTTTTGGATTTGCATATACAGGGTGACTCAAAAAAATTAATGAATGCGTAAATATATTTTATTGATTTAATCAGGAACTACAAAACCGAATGCTCTGAAATCTTGCAGATGTTTTAAGGTCATAAAGAGCATAATAAATGTTTAGTCAAAATATATTTGCTTATCCCCTCCAAAAACTTGATGACGTCAGCTCGAAAGTTTGCCGAATAAATCATATCTAAAATGTACAAAATATGATGAGCCTGTACTTGTCATTTATCACTCCATTCATATTTTTTGGATTTGCATATACAGAGTGACTCAAAAAAATTAATGAATGCGTAAATTTATTTTATTGATTTAATCAGGAACTACAAAACCGAATGCTTTGAAATCTTGCAGATGTTTTAAGGTTATAAAGAGCATAATAAATTTTTAGTCAAAATATATTTGGTTATCTTCTACAAAAAACTGATGACGTCAGCTCAAAAGTTTTCCGAATAAATCGTATCTAAAATGTACAAAATATGATGAGTCTGTACTTGTGATTTATCATTCCATTCATATTTTTGGATTTGCATATGCAGGGTGACTCAAAAAAATTAATGAAGGCGTGAATTTATTTTATCGATTTAATCAGGAATTACAAAACCGAATGCTTTGAAATCTTGGGAATATTTTAAAGTTATTATAAGCATGGTAAACTTTTGTTCAAAATGTATTTGTTCATCCCTCCTAAAAAAATTGATGACGTCACCCTTAAATTTTGCTGAATAAATCCTATCTAAAATGCAAAAAATATGATGAGTTTGTATTTGTGATTTATCATTCCATTCATATTTTTTAGATTTTCTTAAGAGGTGGTTCAAAAAAATTAATGAAGTCAATTTATTTTATTGATTAAATTAAAGGCAACACTTATTATTAGTATTACACCCCAACCAACCCAATTTGGTAGACACAAAATTTGTTAAAGGAAAAACTCGGTTGAAACATAAGGGTAGCACGCTTATTTACATCGACTTTAACATTACAGACCTGCATTTGTTTTATGCGTTCACTTGATTCCGCGAATGTGAAATAGACCGGTCTAGGACAATTCGGCGCGGCCGACTTGGCGCGGCCAACTTGGCGCGGCCGACTTGGCGCGAGACATTTTGGCGCAGGGACACTTTGGCGCAGGGACACTTTGGCGCAAGCCATCTTGGCGCGAGCCACCTTGGCGCGAATGAACTTGCACCAAGAAAAATAGATATAAATATACAAAAATTGCACCCGTTGTTAGCATAACCTAATTTTTATAGTCTCCAACGCGGGGAGGGATAATGTCGACTTTTTAATGGACACACGGGCGCTTCGCGCCCTGCACCCCATTATAAACATACTCCTAAACGTGGAACTTCTTGCTCCGTGGATCATTTAGTTATTAGAATTTGTGTGAATGAAAATGTGTATTTGGTTGCCTACACTTAGCATAAATAACAGGGTGCCAACCAAAGTACGAGCAATAAATATTTTTTATATTATATACCGACGTACTCGCGCCAAGATGGCTCGCGCCAAGATGGCTCGCGCCAAGATGGCTTGCGCCAAAGTGTCCCTGCGCCAAGTTGGCTTTGCGCCAAAATGGCTCGCGCCAAGTCGGCCGCGCCAAGTTGGCCGCGCCAAGTCGGCCGCGCCAAATAGTCCCATTCCGGAAATAGACATGTTTATAATCAACCAATTGTGAATTTCACCGTCAAGAATTAAAATAAAACCCAATGTTTTATATAATAAGCGGAAGTCGAAGCAATAAAACCGACGGTCGTTTTGTTTACAGTTTCTGTGTTTGGCTCTCACGTATGCTGTTACGCCTGTCATCTTAAATTAACAATGTTTATACATACACGATTTTCAGTTGCCTCTGATACGTAGGTATACGTGAGTAATTTGTTTCGTTATTTTATTGATTATTACAAATCAATATTCAAACGACCCAATTCATTTTCCCGAAAATTTGAGAATATAATAATTTTATTCTTAGTATTACACTACATCTATCCCAACTGATATACGTGTCCTTGCAAAAATGTTGATGACGTCATCGCAATTTTTTTTTAAATTCCCACTACAAAAATGTAATGAGAAAAAAAACACAATAGGCATGCAGTCGTCAAGTTTCCGACAGCGAGGGAAGTACTGTCTAAACTCTTTAGACCAATTTTTCAGTTAACTTTTGAGAAGATTTAGTAAAGACATCTAAATCGGTTTACATATTCATGATTTTTATATACCTTCTGTAAGCCAGTGTAAAAATTAAAATCAATACTAAAGTCCTAGTAAAGCTTCAGTTCAAAACACTTTTTTCTTCAAACGTCAAAAAAAAAGATGACATTTTGTAACTCAACAAATGAACTTAAAGTTTGACATTTCAGCCGCTCCTTAACAACAATGGACGAAGACTTTCGATGCCGCTACAGGCGTCAGAAAAAGTAAAACCATAGCAACAGTATCCAAAGTATTCCAAAGCACATTGAAGTTAATCACTTTAAAATAAGCATACGCGTGACTGGAGATAATAGCATATTATTTTATAACGAGCAAAAGTAAAACATTTTGTGGTCTGTAGGTTTGACGGCCAACCGAACGGAGGCCGGTAAATACAGACAAGCCACAAAAAGGCACTTTTTTCCGAATAAAAAATACTATTTATTCTTCAAACGTCTGCAATTAAATTATAGAAGTAATTTAAAAAAATTGGTCTATAGAGTTTAGACAGTACTTCCCTCGCTGTCGGAAACTTGACGACTGCATGCCTATTGTGTTTTTTTTCTCATTACATTTTTGTAGTGGGAATTTAAAAAAAAATTGCGATGACGTCATCAACATTTTTGCAAGGACACGTATATCAGTTGGGATAGATGTAGTGTAATACTAAGAATAAAATTATTATATTCTCAAATTTTCGGGAAAATGAATTGGGTCGTTTTGAATATTGATTTGTAATAATCAATAAAATAACGAAACAATTTACTCACGTATACGTATCAGAGGCAACTGAAAATCGTGTATGTATAAACATTCTTAATTTAAGATGACAGCCGTAACAGCATACGTGAGAGTCAAACAGAGAAACTGTAAACAAAACGACCATCGGTTTTATTGCTTCGACTTCCGCTTATTATATAAAACATTGGGTTTTATTTTAATTCTTGACGGTGAAATTCACAATTGGTTGATTATAAACATGTCTATTTCACATTCGCGGAACCAAGTGAACGCATAAAACAAATGCAGGTCTGTAATGTTAAAGTCGATGTAAATAAGCGTGCTACCCTTATGTTTCAACCGAGTTTTTCCTTTAACAAATTTTGTGTCTACCTAATTGGGTTGGTTGGGGTGTAATACTAATAATAAGTGTTGCCTTTAATTTAATCAATAAAATAAATTGACTTCATTAATTTTTTTGAACCACCTCTTAAGAAAATCTAAAAAATA